TTTGGCTTTTAATTGTGTTCAATGGATACAAGTTTATTTGATTGGGTTGGTTTCACTGCCATTAATGTGTGTATGATTGTGATCATGTGAAAGTGTAATAATATATGGCATTGGCAGTGGGAACCTCTTGTTTTTTTGTGCAGCTATCCCTAACACACTACAACAAGCAACAATATAGTCATAAGTTTTAATTCCTTCAAATGACTGAACCACATTCATTGAACAACCAAAATAGTTTGATCAATCAAAAGAGGACCAGAAGAGTTTGAACAACACAAAGCTACAAGCTGAAAAATCTACAACATGCAATACATACATAATCACCAAATGACTGAACCACATTCAGTCAACAATCAAAACCAAAACAAAAATAGTTTGATCAACCAAAAGAGGACCAAAAGAGTTTGAACAACACAAAGCTAAAAGCTGAAAAATCTACAACATGCAATACATGATTAACCAAGTGATCATAATTACAATCCACATCCAACGCTCCCGAACACTCTTCCTCTTCAAGCACAATTTCATCTCAGCCATTTCTTCCTTAATACCTTCAATACATGCTTCGGCCTCTTTGAAATCTGATTGAAGCATCTTCATATCATTTTCCAACCTCATCACATCTGCTTCAAGAATTTGAGTTTCGCTTTCAAATTTGTTGGCACGTTTCAAAAGCCCTGGAATGATTTCACGAGCTCTAGGGCACAATGGTGGTTCAATCCACATCCAAAATGAACAACCACCCTCCTCCTACAAAATTCAGTAGAAAAGGGAACTCAATTACGAGATCAATTTCAAAAATTAGGGTTGAATAATTTTGTCCAATTTCAGAAATCAGAAATTAGGGCTTAATAGTTTAGCCCTAATATAGAAATTAAGGGAATTTCAAAAAATAAATGAACAATCACCATCCTCCTACAAATATCAGTGGAAAAGGGAACTCAATTCTACGAGATCAATTTTATAAATTTGGGTTCAATAATTTTGCCCAAATTCAGAATTTAGGGTTCACTATTTTTGCCTAAATTCACAAATTAGAGTAATTTCAGATAAAAAATGACCAATCACCATCTTCATACAAGATTCATTGAAAAAGGGAACTAAGTATTACGAGATCAATTTTCGAAATTAGGGTTCACCAAATTTGCCCAAATTCAGAAATTAGGTTAACCCTAATTAATCACTTACTCGTGACTTCGAGCAACAAATGTATCTCCTTCCTGGATTATGAACAGTCCACGACGTTTTCGTAACAACATTGATGCCACAATTGCAATATTGAGCTATCGTCTCCAAGCTGTCTCCAAGAATTTTCGCGTGCTTCTTACTCTGTTCACTGCCCGTGATTTTAAGAGGAATTTGTTCACTGATGGAAAGACAAATATGTCCTGCAAACATTAGAGAAAAAGGCGATTTTACCCTCAAGTTTCGAGCGTGCGAGTCGCACGCTTGCTTTTTCTGTGGAATATGGACTCCGATGGCCGTTAGGTTGCGATACAGACAAAACGTGTATTACAGGTTGCAAATTCAAAAAGGTTGCTATCGTAAAAAACGCGTATAGTACAAGATGCAAAAAATTATTTATCCCTTTTTTTTCTCTCAATATACAATTAATTAGTTGATGATCTTATCTCTCAATATACAATTAATTAGTTGAGGATCATCTCAATGTTGTTCACTAGAGGTCGTCGAGTCCACAAAATAATCATAATTCGGTGGCTAAAGTTATTTCAAGGGTTGCAGCCACTGTCGATGAAACAAAAAAAATCCCAAATTCTAATTTAATATGATCTTAAGTGTTGGATTTCAGTCGTACAAATCAATAGCACGCGCAGCGGAATTTTAAAATTTTCTTACCAATAACGAAGATCCGACTATAGCTATTCGATATGATCCTAGATCGCACGAATAGTTAACGAAAACTTACAGTTTAAGCTTTGTCTTCAACTATGGTATCCACGCAATCCAGATCCCGGTGCACGCTCCAACGGAATGAATCCTTTCCGGTGAAGACGCTAGGAATCCTCAGTCAAAAAGTAAGAGAGTGTTCGCGTATCTCTTTTTCTCTCATCTAATGATCGTTAAAGACTACCATGAGATAATCACCTATTATTAGGTTAAACCTAATTATATGGGCTTCAGGATAACCTAGCCCAATAGGTAATTGGACCCAATTCAATTAATAATTTAATTAAGTGTAAGTCTAATTTAATTTAATTAAATATTTTCTATCTAATAGAAAATTATCTCATTACTCAAAAATAAATATTCCAATCTAATTGAATATTTAACATTCTCGATTCACTCTTAGCCAGAAAATAGATTGCATATTGTGTGACCCTATAAGCCTTCATATGTTGACATAAATCTAATTTATGATCCTTACGAAACTCCTAGACTGCGTCGAAGAACGAACTCAAAATATGAAGTACGTTTACATAGACAATCAAACAAACCTTTGGTGTAGAATTCAATAGTGATACGATCCCTTCATTCACGAACCACTCGATTAAGCTTAGGATTTGAACGTGTGTCTGTCCAAACAGCTTAATCATTTTATCTCATCTCACTGGTTGATTTTATCAATTATATTTGAACACCATTTCAAATATAATCACGTGCATTGGCCAATGACTTTATCAACCCAGTATAGAGAAAACGAGTGTCCTCTCGAAACTATATTCGAGGAATGAATCCTATCTTGGCTCAACTACCAATTCCATGTATATCGTGACCAACCCAACACAAGCCCATATCTACCCATAAGGGCGTAAGCTTTGGACTAGGTCTAAGTAAATCACTCTATACATGAATTGCGTATTGACCTCAAGTCAAAGGACTATTACACCATTCCACACACCGATACTCCCATAGACACATAAACAAATAGTTTATCGGTAGGGTATACCAATACTCTCCAAAGTATCCATGTGTCCATCACGAATAAAAATTATTCATAGTAGTGAGACATACTATATTCTCTAAGAATGTGATGCAGACCACATGTCAATCTATCGCGTATCATTAATATACCTTTCTTAATGATCATCAATTGAGGCTATTTGAGAGTCATACTTTATCAATCAACATCTCACTCTGCCGACGACAATATTAACTCAAGGAAACAATTAATTAATAAATTGCAAACAATCAAATAATTATTTAATTAATTGCAATATCATAATTATAATCTAATATAATTATTAATGTAATCATGTATATATGTCCTTAAAATGATTGTGTCTAGAACATATATACCAACAGCAAGTTCAATTTAAATAATCGAATTTATATAATAAAATAGAAAAATGAACAGCTTGCGTACACTTGGGAGCTCCTCAAAACCTCTTCGTTTGGGGACCATTTTCGGAGGCTTCTGCTAAAATGCACGTGGATTTTCTAAAGACACCGCCGCCACCCAATGAGCTGGACATATCTTTCTATTTTAATACCATTTTTTATTCATTTTTAGTAGTCTTTTCCTTTCCTGGTAAAGATATTGCTTCCTCAATGTACTTTCCTTAGTGCTTAGTGTATGGTCTTAATTTTGTGTATTGTTATCTCGATAATATCTACCTTGCACAACTAAATGAGATTAAAGTATACATGAACGAGACAATTTGGTGTTATTATTATTATTATATTATTATTATTATTATTATTATTATTATTATTATTATTAGTTTGTGGTGTTGTTCTGTATGGAAAGTGTGAGTTCAAGTAGAATTAATATAAACGAGTCGAGCCAATAAGTAGGCTACGCTAATTAGTGTATATGTTAAAAAAGAAAAAGAATTCTTTAACAATTCCTATTTATCTAGCCTAGCAAGTAGAATGACTTGGCTCGATAATTAATTGAAATGAGTCGAGTGGCTCAACTCATTAACTAAACAAGTTTGAGGTCTGACATGTTTATCAAATAAGCAAGTCAAATTCACAGGCAGCTCGTTTTATATATTTAGCAGCTTTAAGTTAATTCGACCCGAAGAGAAGTAATTTAATCCGTAGTATATCTAAGAATGTAGAATCGTAATCCTTTGAAAATGGGAAAAAGAATCAAGTATAATTTCATAGTTTTAGATATTAAAAATATTATGAGGGTAAAGACTAAAGAGAATACTCTCTCAAGAACAAGAAATTGGAAATTAACCGCTCCATTAGTTTAAAGTCCACTTCAGTGTACTGTTTTCGAAATTCTAATTATGAGTGCCTTTGTCTGTCCCAAATCATGGAACAGAAGTTTTATTTTCTCTTGTTTCCTTAAACAAATTAAAAAGAAAATATAATTTCTCAGCCCTGGAATGTCAAAGTCTACGTTTTACATAACGGCTGACTTTATTACAATATGGTATAACTAATTTTGACATTTTATAATATAGTTGTATGACGTGGTCGATTAAATAGCCTATCAAAATTTGAAATGAAATAAAATAAAAATATCATAAGCGGTGACATACCTACCCAGCAAAAAATAATAATAAAAGAAGGATTCGACTTATGCATTTCTAATCGTAATTTTTTTTTTCCAAACAAAAATCAATATATTAAACTCAAAGCAAAGTTTAACCGTAACTCAACTGAGAACAACCTACCTTATTTAGAGAATTAGACAAGCCAAAATCGGGCATACACAAATGATAATCGTAATTTTTAAATACTCGATTACGCTTATGCAACAAAAATATCTCCTAGCTCTACATCATTTTATTCTGATATTATGAAGCGAATTACTGTTTCGTTAATTTGATTGGCATTCAGGGATATATGAGTCAATTAATCTATATATTATTTATAATAATAATAATAATAATAATAATAATAATAATAATAATAATAATAATAATAATAATCAACCCACTCACGTGGCATTTGAATAAATGATAAGATCGTAGTAAGTGGGCGACTTTGCAAAGTAGATTAATTTGCAATATAAAATTCAGGATATTCGGTTCCCATTAATCATTGCTTGGATTATTTTGAATTATTAATGTAGAACAAAAATGACGGTATGTGGGGGGACTTTCATCCAGTTCACGCCCCAATGCTTATGTTTCTATAATTCCACAAAGTGAATATAAATCTATTAAGCAACAATGACATCTTTAAAAGTAATTAAAGATAGTGGAATCAATTATGCACACTACAACATCAACTTTCTGTTTAAATATTAACATATATCTCAAATTAACTACTTATGCTAGCTAATCAGTTCCTATAGTAGCCTTCTTTCACATCTTAATTNAAAAAAAAAAAAAAAAAAATGTTCTCGTATATGATGAAACCAAAATCAAATAGACTTATTCCAAGTCATATTTAACCAATTACATTATTATTTCATATCCATGTAGAGTATCAAATTTACCTATTTTTTCTTAATAAAAACTACCTTTTCAATTTTCATCATATTTTTCGGTGGAACTAAACTTTTTAAAAAAAAAATCTTATCTATCATTATATTAAAAGATTAACCATTTAATATTTTTAGTAAGTTTTTCCCGCCAAATATATTTAATGTCTCCTAAAAATAGAGCAGCATTAAATGTTGCCCTTAAATCATGACAGTTGTTAATTTAGTTTGGAGAAAATCGTGGCAACTAAAACAAACAACATTAATTACGGCTGGTTTAATATTTAAATGGTAAACAAATATTACTTTTTTATGACTGATTTAAATTACGTCTATTTAAAAGTAAAAAACTACTTTTGTAATTTCAACAAATTTGTACTCTTTAATGTACGACTGATTTAAAATTAAGAATTTACTTTTTTATTTTCACAAATAATCGTATAAAGAAGTATGGCTGGAATAATAATAAAAAATTAATTTGTTAAACCATATTTTGCACTCATAGATACGAATTCTCATCAAACTCAAGATTTAAAATTGTGAAGAATGTATATAGATGTGGACTGATTGAAGATATATGATTCCTTAAATTAAGGAATTTTTTTCGGTAAAAAAAAATATAAACTTTAAATATAGATTTTATTAGTAGTGTATACCAAAGAATATTGTTACATTTAAAATTCCTATGAAGAATAATTCTATTAATTTTCAAATTCAACATCTCATAAAAATAATATGATACACTTTTACATTCTATGAAACAATATTTAAAACCCACCGTTCAACATGCATAAAATGTAAAATTACCTAACATGAATCATTTTAACTTTCTAAAATCAGTACACAATTTGCTCGGTATGTACTAATAGTCTAATAGTTAAGGGTTAATATTTGCTATGACATCTATTGGTTGGAAAGAATTCCATTTTGTATGGAATTCGAAATGAAAAAACATATTCTGAAAATCAAATCTGGTTTAGAGATCGATTTCTTAATGGCCTTAAATTATGCAAATATATTGTTTCAGTTTTTAGGATTCTTTTTTATGATCTCAGTCTTTGCATTATATGAAATCTATACTTATATAAAAAGTCATCCTATTTACTAGAAATAGTATGCAGAAAAGTCAAAGGTAATTAATGCTTGCTGGAAATAGAATGATATTAATTACAGATTTGTTTTGGTATTTATAGGCTTGACATTAAAGATTTGTTATGGGATAAAAATCAGAACCGATTTTTTTACCTTTGCTGGAAAAGTCAAAGGTAAGTATAGATTTGTTTTATCCCATAGCATCGGTTTAGTTAAGAAAATCCCATCAAATCAGTTTTATATGTCAAGCCTATGAATAAAGATTTAATCGGTCAAAATTAAATCCTTATTTTACGTCACCCATAATAAAGTAGATATCAAACCTAAATTGAAGGGTTTAGTTGTCTATATAGTCATTAATTTACGTAAATACATCTAATGTTTAAAGTTTGTGTAGATTGAAAATTCCTTCTTATTTTTTTACAAAAAATCTTATTATTATTGTATGGGAAATCAAACTCATAATGTTGTGTACAAAGTGGTCTTTAATAATATATGATTGTTTGTTTGTCGAATACTATCTTATTGTATAATTTTCCTGCGTATTATAAAACTTTTGTTGAATATTGCATCTTATAATATAGTATTCCTCAAATAAATATATCCCGTGCCTCGCAGGGGTCACGTACTATATATATTCCGTACATTTTTCTGTATTCATGTATATGCTTATAAGTCTGGATAAATAGCCTTAAAATTGTGCACCCCGTGCATCACACGGGCTCTGTACTAGTGTTCAATCAACCGCATCCATATATAGTATTTGGAACTTAGTTTTATTCGATTTTTTGTTAACGTTGACATTATGACCTGTTTGAGGCATAAGGTCAACATGTTGTGTTACCATATATGTATTAGTGCAGAGTCCATACGTGCGATGCACGGGGTTCATAATTTTTGGGATATTTATTCAGGCTTATAATTATATACATGTGGTAACGCAAAACACTCCAACCGGCTTGAAATCGGTTTGCTCCCTTCTTCCTCGCCGATAGAACGCCGCGCTCCTGCACAGAACTCTCACACCGGAGGGGTTTTCCGGTGAAGAGCCTCCGATGCTTAAGTCAGTATATGTTTGTTCAATTTTCCAAAGTAAAGAATGGATAAATCGTAAACCCTAAGAAAAGACCCACTCCTCTATATATAGGAGTGAGATACCTGCCCTAAGAGCTGCCCGGATATTGGTGAGCTGTCCTGCCCGCACTGCCCGTCCGTACACACACAGTGTACGTGTTGTCAGAAATGTCAGGGGTGTCAGAGGTGGTTGCTACCACTATCACTCTGCACCAATACGTTTTCGCCACGTGCCCCCCTCTGAGCTGAGGGGAATTATTCCCTTGCGCAAGCCGTTGGGATCTCCTGACATCACTCACGCGCCTACTCGCGTTCAGATCACGCTCTCGACTACCTCCTACCTGTCGTATGCCCGATATGATCGAGCTTCCCCTCGCTAGGTCGATCCTCGACCAGCTCTGCTGTTCTGCTCGACATCTTCCATTTTGGTCGATCATCCTTCAACCCATGTAGTTTTCTCTCCTATGCCTGCCTGACCGACATGACGAACCGGTCTGCTCCTTAGTCGTATAATATCCCACATCAACATGAATAAGAAAAATGTACGAGATATATATATTACGTGACCCGTGCGAGGCACGAGATATATTTATTTGGAAAATATTATATTATAAGATGTAATATTAAATAAAAGTTTTATATACGTAGGAAAATTGTACAATAAGATAGTATTGAAAAAACTAATTGGGGATATTTTTTTCGCAGGAGGTCTGTTAGACCTATTAACTTACAATTCGAATTTTAAGCATAAGTCTATTAGACCTATTAATCTTTTTTGATTAAGCCAAATCCTCGATTCATTGTTTTGAATGAAAGACTGATTGGTTTGAAAGTGATGAAGACGATGACTCAATATTTTGAGATTTATAAGTTATAATTGGTAGAGTAGAATCAATATCTGTTAAGATTTTTAAGAAAAAATCTTGATATACGGAAATCACATTATATGTAGAGGAACAAATCAGATCAGATTTTTCATACAATTAAATAAGATTTTTTGTACAACGATAAGTAGGAATTTTAAATCTACACAAACTATAAATATTAGATGTATTGATTTACGTAAATCAATATCTATATAGACAACCAAACCCTTCAAGTTAGGCTTGACATCTGATTTATTTTTGGTAAATTAAGATTTTATCTTCCGATCAAATCTGCTTTTTTTTTTGTTCTACGTACATTTTTTTTGTACCGATTTTATGGAAAAAAATAATTAAATAAAAATTAATTGATGAAAATAAAATGCATTAATTACCTTTGATTTTTCTTCTTACTAATTCTAGTAAATGGGATGTCTCTTTATATAAGTATAAGTATATAGATTGTCTTGGAGTTTCTTTATTATTTGTTTCTCTTTATAGAACTTTTATCTGCATGGTTATAATAAGAAGTTGATGACAAGAATCAAATCAATAAATGGATGAATATATGAATTTTGCGTTGAAAAAGAAATACCTTCTGCAAAAGAAATAATATAGATCGATCAACAATTAGACAAATAATATATGTATATATAGTCAATTAATTCCTTATTTATGATCAAGATACAATTTTCCACTAATCCCACAACAAATTATAAACTACCAAACCATACAAAACAATCAATACGTATGCATGACACAATAATCACTAGAGTAATTACTTTCAAATTATGTCCTCTAAATGAAAATATTAACCTGTAAAAACAAAAGCATTGGACTAATATGTAATTTTTGCTAGGGTTCTAATCTCCATTGAGCTGTTGCTGCAAGAACAACAAGTCATCGGAATTCCACAGCCCGTCAGGCCCATCTCCAACGTCGGCCCACGGCCCGTTTTGGTTGACAAAATCCATCCCCTGGCTGAAAAAGCCCGCCGGGCTCGTGAAGCTAGACTGATAATTAGTATTATAGTAATAATCATAATCCTGATTAATCATGTTGCCGCCATGATAACTCTTGTTGACCGGATAATTGTTGTAGCAGTCAGTTAAGTCCGGCGACCCAAACGAGTCCGAAGAGGGAGCTGCGCTTGAGTTATCAGGTGTGTATGTGCAGGTGTGGGCCAGCCCGCTGCCGATGATGGGCTGCTGGGGCTGGAGTAATTGGGCCGGGCCCAATTCGCGGTTTGTGCAGCTTTGGTTTGAGTTGGCGGCTTGGATGCGCTCCACGAGTCGGGGCATCCAGAGGTAGCGCATAGTGTCCTTGAATTGCTTGCTGTTGACGTCACATTTGAGTTGCTTCGCGTGCTTTTGCACGCGCGTGCGCCAGTAGTTTTTTATTTCGTTGTCTGTCCTGCCTGGCAAGTGTTGGGCTATTTTCGACCACCTATATATATATATATATTGTTATTTTTCGAAAATTTGAATAAGGAATATGAGGATTTTTTTTTTTAAAAAAAAATTGGTGTTGATATATTATTGGAAGGAATATTTAATTGCCTATTGGGTGAATTAAAAATAATAATACTAATGTGAATTTGTGGAGTAATTAAATTACCTATCATTTTTTCGAAAATTCGAATAAGGAAATATGATGCATTTTTTAAATTAGTGTTGATATACTATTGGAACTTGGAAGGAATATTTTGATTGTTTATTGTGAGAATTAAAAATAATAAATACTATTATGAATTTGGAGAGTAATTAATTAATTAAGTTACCTATTTCCCCAACGAGAGTGGAGTTCGAGAATGAGGAGTTGTTCCTCGAGAGTGATATTCCCTCGGCGGACGTCAGGACGCAAGTAGTTCAGCCATCTCAATCGACAGCTCTTCCCGGTTCTCTTTAGCCCTGTTTTATTCCATTTTTTTATTTTATTTTAAAATTAATCAACTATTGTGAGAGAAGAAAACACTTTGGGAAACAAACAATTTCCCTTTAATTGGTAAAGTTTCACACGTACTTTATTCATACTCCTTTGAGGTCCTAGCTAGCCACATAATGCTACTACATACATCATGTGAGTTGTATTCTTTTCTTGTACGGACACATAACCGCTAAACTAATATGGACATTTGATATGGGAAAAGAAAAAATGAGAAAAGGAAAAAGAAAAAAAAAAAAATCCTAAACCATGATGCCATAGCATGTACATATGGATTTAAGTGTCTTCATATAGTACCCAAAAAAAATAAAAAAATAAAAAATAAAAAATGAAAGAAAGAAAGAATTTACCGGCAGAACGAGCAAGAGAATTCCAACGGCCTTCGCCATGGTGAGCAACATAGTTGATGAGTGTAAAATCCTCATCGACCGTCCATGGCCCTCTTCTAAGCTCCATATTTAATTCCTCTTCACTTTGGTTGTAATTGCTCGAAACTTTACCATCTTGATCCATCCTTCTTTTTGTTATTTTTTTGGCTTCTTCTTTAGTAATCTTATACTATACCTCTAAAGGAGAAAAGAAGAAAATGGAAATTTATTGATTGGCACAAGAAAAGTTAATAATGAATTGCAAAAATTATCCTTTTTTTTTTAATGGTATTTTTATTTCGAAATAGTTGGATTAGTACGAGAGGATAAAGGAATAGGGGTTTATATAGATGGGGGTAAGAGAGTTTTAAAATGTGAGGAATAAATATTAAATGAAATAAGAAAAGAAAAAAAAATTGAGGGAAAATGGCAAGTATGCCGCAATAGGGACATAGGTGACTTAATTAATGTCTTAGTTGCTGATTAAATAACTTTTGTATTAAAGTAATCCCACACTTTGAGAGCTTGGGGTTGGGAGGGGGTGTGTTGAAAGTAATAAAATATGTATTATTGGTTAGCGCGAGCGAGGGCTTTAGAATTTTGACTCTCTGACTTTGCTAGTTTCTCTGTGTGGAAAATGGGTAGCATTTTTATTAATAGAAAAATTAGTTTTGTGTGTAGTTTAACTTATTTTTCTTCTCCTTGTCCCATCAAGTTGCCATGGAATTTGACTCCGTAATGGTGACACAACTATGTTTTACTAATTTTCCACAATGGAGAATGTATTGATGATGCAGAACAATTATGAGTAGTTAAATCCTCCACATTGAAATATTACAAAATAATTTCATGAATGACTACGCATAATTAAAAAAAAAAAAACGACCAAATTTCAAGCAATATCAATTATTTTGTTGAAATGTCATTTGTGAATTGTTCCTTATTGATTATGATATAGTACCCATGTGAACTGGTCTGAGTGGTTAGCTCCAGTGTGACCGGTTCAAAGGAGCTTTAGCTCGGTACCAAGGCTTGACGTCGTTAGGGAGCACAGTGTAGCTCAGGATATGAGTCGACTTGAAAGGAGGAATGAGGAGTCGAGTTCCTCGTGAAGCTCGAATGGATGAGTGGTTACTTGAGGTCGTAGAAGCGAAGATCGTAGTTTCGACCTGGTAAGTGCCTGCGACAGATGGGTCACGAGTTCACTGTAACGACCTAAGGACTTACGAGTTGTGTCATGAGAGGGAATAGAATTCTTGTAATGATGATAAGTGTATCTTGCTAAGACGTTTTATACTGGGAAACGCGATACAATAAGATCTCTTTTCTAGTAATGAGACTACCTGGGCTGGAAGATAACCTTAATATAAAAGGAGATTACCAAGTTATATTTACATAACATATATTTACATCTTATTATACAGTATTATCGTATTTACAAGCGAGATATAATTTGAGTGTTTGAGATTTTCTGCCGAGACCCCTCCTTGGCATGTCTTGCAGGTCACCACAGCTCAAGGCGAAAGGCGGTTCGTGGTTGTGCCGGTTGAAACCCAGTTCGTCGGATGACGTGCCTCCGAGAGATTGGATGAATCATTTACATGATGCTCTTTCTCCAACTTTTTTGTTATTTCATGAGTTTAGTAATATCATTCCTTTTCCTTCGTTATTGCATCAGAATGCTAATGCAATAAAATAAGAATGAATATGAAGCCTATCAAAGTAAAGTAGGGAGCTACCTATCTGATGTTGCATGCTCAAATTGTTCAACCGAACCTTTCTTTCGTCTCCTTCTGCAGAAAAGGCCAATTACATCAAACCTTTTATGCTAGATAAGACCGAGAACTCGATTTCAGGCGAAGCCTTAGTTGTCGTTGTTGGTGGAGGAAATGCTTTTAGTGGGCCAGTAAACGCTCCTCTTCTTCTCATCATATTTTAGAGGCTTGGAATATTTTTATTTTTTTCTTCCATTTGAACTCATTTCATTAATTCTTTTAGTCACTTTAATAGAAGATCATATAGCTTCTATATCCGGCCCCATCAGACCATCTCAGGGTCCTTTTGAGAAACCTCCCAGGAAGCCATCACAGTAGGTGCCTTAAAGATTTCATGGTACTATGACCCTTGGCTAGTTCACTGAGCTATATCGGGGACATAGCCTTCGACTCTTGCCAACTAGAGATTCAAAAAAATGAATAAAAAGACAAGTGCCTTTATTCTCCTCCAAACCGTCGACTTCACTTCCCTTCGCTTCGTTTGTACCTTTTAGTCGAGCTATTTCGTGCACCCAAACACTTATATGATTTCACTTCGCTTCGCTTCGTTTGTATCGTTCTTTTTCAATTTTTTTTTTTACTATTTGGCGTCGTTTGTGAGAAAAATCTAGTCTTTATTGGTTGGCAAGAACTTTGTTATTCTNAAAAAAAAAAAAAAAAGAGAATAAAGGTCTCGGGGTCACAGCTAAAGAGAACTCAAGAAAACAATTGGAAAAAGATATAAATGAAACTTGGGAATCACAAATCCACATGGGGAGAGGACCACCACCAGGTTGGTCAACGGATACGTCAGCCCAGATCATGTTAAGAGCGAGCCTATTGGAATCATAGGCATAAATCGGGTTACGAATCTCGTGTTACAAGCTTGTTCAGTACAAGAGTCATCAGCTTTCCCCTGGAGGCTACAATGGTGTGGAACCAGGATCAGATCATAGTAGCTCTAGCCACTGGATCCGAAGAGCGGGTAAGACATCAATAACCTCATTTATCTAAGGATACTTGCTCTAGGGACAAGGAGGACAACAAGAGAACCTCGAGGGATGGAAGGTCCACAGAGAAAATAAGGTGATTCAGATCATTAGGGCGGAGTTGGATAAGATTGTGGTCAAGGCAGTAGCTTAAGCTCGAGCACCCAGTCAGGCGAACTCGGTAGGTTCGCAACCACAACCTCAAAGAAGAGTTGAGAAAGCTAAAGTCAGGCTGATGACTTCCCCAAGCACAATGGCTCGACAAGCAAGGGATGCTACCTTAGAGAGGTTAGAAACCCAACTACGAGAGCTACTGGCCCAGGTGGAGGGCATGGTGGCACTCAGAATCTGTGAGCATCCATTTGCTTAGGACATTTTGGATGCCGACTTATTGACTAATTTCCGCAAGCTGAACCTGTCGTAAGATGGATCAGCAGACCTAGCCAGACATTTAAGGATCTTTGAGAATTTAGCAGTTTTACGTCGCTACAATGACGCGGTTTGCTATGAGCCTTACTAACTATCTTGAAAGGGTCGACACCAGATTGGTTTCATCAGTTGCCAGCTAGATCGATATATAAATTTAAAAGGTTGAGTTCACAGTCATCAATCAGTTCTATAATGCAAAAAAACATGAGAAGACCTACCTGACTCTAATCATTATGCAATAGAAAAAATGGGAGATTCTCCGCGAATATGTAGCCCGTTACACCAAAGAATGTGTTGAGGTCCCCTCAGCGTCGGAAGAGATCAGAGTAGAAGTTATAACCAGGGGTCACCAACCAGAGGCGTGTAGAAACTCCCTAGTCATGAGGCCAATACGGTCTTTTGATGATTGGCTGCCTAGGTGTGCAAAATACATTAACATGGGGAGGCAGAAGATGACTTTCTGTAGAACAACAATGCCAGCGTCAAGCGAGCTGAAGAGAAGCCTCGCCTAGAGGACAAGAGGTCTTTAAACAGGGACTTGAGGGTAGAGAAACGCGGCAAGATGGGTTAAATGTATGAGCATTATGGACCATTAGCAGTACGCTAAAAGAAGGTGTTCAAAATCCTCAAGAAGTGTGGGAATATGGGCATCTTTGCCTATCATACAACTATTCCCAAGAATTGAGAGTACGTTCCCTTTTGCAATGAACCATACTGTAAGTACTAAAGGGATTATGGTTACTCTATTAACAACTGCCAAGCGTTAAAGGCTGAGATCCAGCGGTTGATCCGATACAGACATCTCAAAAATTTTGTGTTAAAAGACAAAAAAAGGAAGATTTAGAAGGGACAAAGAAGAACCGACGACCTGAATACTCAGAGGATAGAACACCCAAGTGGGGTGTGATTCAAATGATTGTTGGAGGTCCCACTGATGGGATTATCACAATGCCCACAAGAGGAGCTACCGTAGCAGGAAGGAGGTCGCCAAGGTACAAGCTGAGCAACCCATGGTCATGCTAAAGTTCGGGTTAGGGGATTAGAAGGGTATTTTTACCCCTCACAATGACACTTTGGTTATCATAATTGAGGTCGCTAGTTATAAATTGCAACAAGGGTTCATTAACAATGGTAGCTCAGTTGACATCTTTCGACAGTGTCTCTGAAAGATGGATCTGGATATCAAGGTCGAACCGATGAATACAACCCTGTATAGGTCTAATTTTAATGATGTCCCACTGATGGGATTATGTATATGTGTTTATTTTTGTGTGTTCTATGTGCCTTAGTCAAGTCTTTTTAGGTTCGTTTTAGTGTCGACTGGTCCATTTTATCGTATTTCATGTGTTTTTGCATTCGTTATGTGTTTTTGTGTTTTGTCGTACTTTTCTTCTTTTTTGTGTTGATTAGGTCCATTTTTCCGAGATTGGGAAAACGAGCTAACCGAGTCGTCCGAGCCGATAGAGCCGACCGAGCAACCCGAACCGTGCCGAGCCATGACCGGGTCTGGACCCACGAACCGAACCGCGCGCGCCCGCGCCCAGTGGACACCCGACGACCTCGCGAATGTCGCAGAGCCCAGCACTCGTGCGCACGCCCGCGTGCCAGCGGTCCATCCCGCGACTGTGCAAGTGCTGCGCCCTACCAGTCCGTGACCAGTGGGCGTTTTAGCCACGTCGCGAGTGTTTCTTAGTAAATGTGTACATTTTTAGTGTGTGTTTCTCGTGTAGCTATAAATAGACATTGTATTTTGTATTTTTGGATACCACCACTCATTTGTCAACATTTTAGTTGGAAAATTAGCTCTTTTTCTCTCTTTTATTTTTATTCTTCTGTTTGGAGGTCTAAGACTTGACATTTTCCGGCGAAATTCCAGCGACTTTGTTTTCGTTCAAAATTCAATCTTTACTCATTATTTTCATCCGAGCTTGCGATAGGAGGGTCAGTACCTTGAGTAGGGCTTATTACTTCGAGTTTGTGATTTGGCCAAAATTTTGTGTTGCGATTTTAGGACTTTGCTTTATTTTCATTACTTGCGTAAGTGTGTTAGGGATTCAATACGTGCTTATCTTGTGTAAAGGTCTCGACTTTGCTCAAAGCGAGATGATTTAGTTAGAAGGCTCGTGTTAGATTACTTACGATCACTT